ACTAATTTTTATTTTTAATAAAAAATTTATATTAGTTTTAAATAAGTAAAAAAAATTATTCTTTTTGTCTAACTACTAAATTTTTTTATTAAACTAATATATTTTTTTATGATAAATTAATGTAAAAATAAAAAACTAATAATTACTTAATATTATTAAAGATAAAAAATGAAGTTAAAACTAATTAAATAAGTACTAATTAAAAATTGTGACTAAATATTACAAAAAAATTAAAAATGATAAATTTGTCAATAAAATTAAAAAATTCCAATCTACTAGAGGTTTGGTACAAAAAGTTACCTTAGATAGCTTTTTTAATTCACTAGCAATTTAAATTTTAACCGCTATCTGTTAGTTTTAAACTACTAAATAAAAAGTTTTACCGAACATTTAATTTGTAACGATTTTGAAATAAATAAGTTTACTAAACAACTACTTTTATCGGTTTAGCCAAAATCACCAATTGTTACCTCCAAACCATTATACTAAAGAGCCCTTAGTTTTTGTTTTATAGCAAAAGATAAAAAACAGTTGGCATTTGATAATTATGTTGAAAAAGTGTGGTACATATCATATATGTACTACTAATGTTCTACCACATAATATTAATTAAAATTAATTTAATATCAACGATATATTAATTTGAGCAGAATGAATTTAGTTTTTTTTTAAATAATATATTAAGTTCAAATTTTATAAATAAATAAATAAACATTAAAATTTATGGGGTTCGACATGATTTTATATTACTTAGAGTCCAATGTAACATTTGGATGCCACGGGTTAGTACAAAAAAAAATAAAATTAATTTAATTATAATAAATTAACATTTTTAATAATTTATTACTATAAGAAAAAGAACTATAAAAAAGCAATCACAAATGAAATCTAACATTTTCAATAAAGGTTTGTCTATTATGTGTTTTTTAATCACAAAAGAAATCTATCAATATAGTATACACATTAAAAGTATATTTATTGTAATATTTTAGTATTAATTTGTATAAATATTTACAAAAGTAAATTTCATAAAATGATATTTTATAAA